CAAGTAGCCCAACCTTTGGTTCTTGATCATATGCTGCCTCTTGAAATTGTTGAACATCAGTTTTTTGTTTTGTTTTCTTCCGGTACAGTGACTGTATTCCTTCCATCTTCTGATTCTTTCTGCATCATTCAATATTTTACCATAGAATCCTTCAATATTTCAAGTCAAGACTTTAACTTTTTATTCAGTTCCCTGAGCTTGAGAAATGCTGAGTGTGTTCTTCTCTTGGTTTTCTAACTCCAGGTCTTTGCACATTTTGTTATATTTTACTTTGTCTTCTTGAGCTGAACTTTGTCATCCCACAACTCTTCTGGTCTTCGGTCTTTATTGTCTAATGCATCAAATCTGTTCTTAAGATGATTTCTAAATTCAGGTGGGGTATATTCAAGGTCATATCTTGGCTTTCATGTACCTGTTTTAATTTTCTTCAGCTTCTGCCTGAATTTGCTTATGAGCAATTGATGTTCTACTCCATGGTCTGCCCCTGGCCTTATTTTGGCTGATGATATGGAGATTTTCCACCTTCTCTTTCCATAGAAGTAGTCAATTTGATATCTGTGTATTCCATCTGGTGAGGCCCATGTGTATAGTCATCTTTATGCTGTTTAAAAAAGGTTTTGCAATGAAGAATTCATTGGTCTTGCAAAATTCTATTGTGTGATCTCCAGCATTGTTTTTATCACCAAGGCCATTATTTTCCAACAACTGATCCTTCCTCGTTTCCAACTTTGCATTCCAATTGCCTGTAATTATCACTACATCTTGATTGCATGTTTGATCAATTTCATATTGAAGATTGGCAAAATTCAATATCATCACTGGTTTTCATGGTTGGTATGTAAATTTGAATAGTTGTATTAATTGGTCTCCTTGTAAACATATAGATATCCTATTACAGATAGTGTTGTATTTCAAGACAGATCTGGCTGCTGCTACATAGTATTGTTGCTACTGCATAAATATTTTAATTGTGGACAAGCCATAGTTCTCACTAACAAGAGCTAGGGTAGGCTCTGATCCCAGGCTTGTCCCTGACCCCACAGACCACAGTGGCACGGCCACAGGCTGGTCTGGGTTCATGACTTGGTGGCCCAAGGCTGAGATGGACAAGAGAAGCATGTCCCCAGGCAGTCTCTGTTCCAGACAATGATGGGACTCACCATGGGGAGCTGTAAGTTTGTGCCTTGCCTTCACCTTGGGGGTACACTGAAGGACAAAGTGGGGTATGATAGGTCAGAGAGGCTCAGAGTGCATGGGGCCCTGAGCTCATCCTCCTGGTTCATTCGTTTGAATTGATAGTCACCTGCATTAGCAGTTGTAGGACTGAAAGCCAAAGATCCATAGCCCAGTCTCCTGGGTTCTGCAGATGAGGATCCTCACGGAGGCAGCGAGCTAATAGGGCTCGTTCGGCACAGCGCCCCATCCACATCTAATTGTCTCCTCTCCTAATCTTGGTCCTCATGGGCAGGGTCCCTACTTTACTCACCTGTACTTGGTGGCCTTGGTGAACTTTCACAGAAGTGACCATCAGGCCAGAACTTGCTCCAGGAATTTTGCCTGAAATGTGTAAAGAATTTTTTTTTCCCTTTAGGGTTAAGTACTCACTGAATGAATTAATGCATACATTCTAGCAATATTTGAAATTATATGAGTGAAATGAGGCTAAAGATGCATAGAAAATATTTTATTTTCGCTGGTTGACAGCTAATCAGTCATGTGATTAGCAACTTACATATTAAATCCTAAAACAAGAGAGATAGTTAGCAAGGAAACAACAGACAAATCTCCTTTCTTGTTAAATTTTCTTGGAAAAGAAATAAAGCAAATGGATTTTAAATTTAAGAAGCAGACACTGTTGGCTTTCATTGTACCAGCACATTTCTGAATTTTCCCAACTATCCCATGAGGTCAGGAGTTTGTTTAGTGCTGTGGAGTCAGTTCTAATAGCGACCTTCTATCGGGGTTCCATTTTTGCAGGGGCAGTCAGCCTCATTTTTTACCTGCAGAGCGGCCAGGAGGCTCACTTCCAGTTTGTTGTAGTCCAGTGCTTATACTAAAAGCAACTGTGCTCCTGATGTAGTACTATCCCCTTTTTACAGGTGAGGAAACGGAGACTCTGGGATTAGCTAAAACAAAGATACATTATTTAATAGGAGGCACAGCTAAGATTAGAATCCAGATCTTACTTCAAAACCTGTGGTTAAAAAGTTTTATTAAAAACAATTATTTTTTCTTCCATTATAAAAGCTGTTGTTGCTGTTAAGTGCCTTGGAGTCGGGTCCGACTCATAGTGACACTGTCTAGGGTTCCTGAGAAGTGGCTGGTGGATTTGAACTGCTGACCTTGCAGTCCAATTTATTATCCTACAGTGCCACGCCAGTATTCCCGTTATAAAAGTAACACCTGCTTATGAGAGCATATTTGAAAAAGCCTTGGAAAGAATTTAATTATGACCCTAATCCCAGTCAGCATTTTGGTACACTTCAGGAATTTTGTTTCAATCAGATCTCATACGAATATTTCCCAGCTCCATCTTCAAACAATTGTGAAGATAGGATGGCAGGGCTTGCATTCTGCAAGGTGACATCTGCTAGCACTCAGACATGGCTGTCCCTGCCTGTCTCCGTCTCTCCTCTCACACCTGAGCTGTGCCCCTCTCTGCAATCGTACCTACCTGAGCCCTGTAGGTGGCTGAATTCACACTTCCTGTTGGGCTCAGTGTAACAGCAGCAGAGGTCTCCATCAGCCCCAGCATAGCAAGCCTTTAGTTCACGCTGCTGGAGGTGACATAGGGTGGGGGTCGGGGGGCCCTGCAGGCAAACGGCTGGTGCTGTAAGGGTCCCTACAGCAGAGCTGGCGAGGCCTGCTGACCCACAGCAGTGATGTGGCTGACTGTCCACCCTTGCCAGTGAAGGCAGTTGGCTGTACGGTGTTTGTGCAAAGAAAAGGACAAGAGGGCACCTGACTCTGTTGAACGCATCAAGCATCAAGCAAAACATGGTGGCCTGTCCTGTCCAATTACTCCAATCACCCCGCCGGGAGACTGACCAACATCCAACAAGGTGGCAAGGAGGGTGGCATGCCAGGCTGACACACAAAACTATTGTGGGGTAGGCAGTGGCCACCAGGCTGAGACAGTGAACCATGTGACAAGCCAACAAGTGAGGACGCCATCCCTGAAGAGGTTTTCAGAATGCCATCACAGGCAGCCCTCAATTTACAACGGAGCCAAGTCACAACTTTTTTTGGGGGGAATATACTGCAGCTGATGCTATTCTCAGACGTCCACTGATGCTAGATGTTATGATTTACTGTTGAAAACACTGCTGGATTTATGTTGTTATTAACATGGAAAAACTCAGGCTATCTTCAGTGCAAAGCAATTTATAAAATGGCAGGCACAAGACAGGCCCACTTTTGTTTTAAAATAAGACAAAACCCAGCCATATAAGAAAGAAGTGGGAGAAAAAAAGCTAGCTACATCTGCACCAAATTGTTGATGTCGTTGTTGTTAGGTGCCGTGGTGCCGATTCCAACTCATAGTGACTCTGTGTAGAACAGAATGGAACACTGCCCGGTACTGTGCCAACCTCATAACTGTGGTCACTCTTCACTGCCCGGTACTGTGCCAACCTCGTAACTGTGGTCACTCTTCAGCCCATTGTTGCTGCCACTGTGTCAATCCATCTCATTGGGGGTCGTCTTCTTTTTTGTTGACCCTCCATTTTATCAAGCGTGATGTCCTTCTCTGGATTTATAGATACAGATAATAAAAGGCAATTAATAATGAAAACATTTTAAAAAGTAAAAATTTAAAAAAAAATTCAACTTATGTCAGAACCAACTTCCTGTGGAGTCACGGGAACAAGAGCAGGCCTGCTGTAAGTCAGGGGCAGGGGCAGGCAATGTGGGACAGGAAGAGACCAGCTAGAGAAGCGCTCATCTTGAGTCCAGTGGAAAAACGCTACCTCAGGAGACAGCTCTTTTTGCCTGGAGATCAAGTGCTCCTAGAGAGACAACAGTTTCACTTCCTGTTGCCATGTTTGTAGCTATTTGTTGAAGGAAGGGGTTCTAGATGGAATGGGGGACACCACAGAATCCATGCTGTTACTCAGGTGCTGCATTTGTCTTCTTGGCCACCTGCCAAATGACAGGAGCGGATTTCACCACAAAGGGAGCACGGCCTTTAATGTCATCAGGCAGCTTCATAAGGATAAAAAATCGTTAAAGTAAGTAACAAACTGTAGACCTAGGGTTGTGTATATGTACACTTCCCTCCCCTTCCTTCCTCCTCATGGACAGAAAAAAAATATACAAATAACACTGGATAGTTTTTTATAAAACAAGCAAATACAAGAATCTGAAACTTTCTCAAAGGTTGAGCAAGACATGAAGATTCTTTTAATGTCGCATTTTAAAAAAACCACATTAAATACACTAACACACACGCGAGGGCTGGGAGGGGAGGACGAGGGGCCGCTGGACCACCAGAGCAGAGATGTGGTCTGTCGAGAGTCAGGTGAAGTCAGCCACTGGAGACTCAGGACTTGCCGTGGAGCCATGGCAGAACTGATTCGTAAACGCTCACCCAGACCATCAACACCTCTGAGGAAGAAAGCTGGCTGGACTGGGGTGCCCCAGGATGCACCTTCAAATCTGCAGTGCAGTCCCGTGGGGCAGGGCAGGGACACCCGCTGTCCTGGTCTCTTCCAACACAACGCCATCAAGGCACCTCCGGACATGTGCCAGGGATACCGCCGTTCCAGAGCCGCCTCTGTCCCACTACGGAGAGTTACAGGAAAGGACAAAACTGCTCCATGAGTGGGTCCTGGTCTATGAAGAGGATCCCTCGCTCCCTCCTTCTGGCCCCTCCTAGCCCCCTCCCCACTCTCTCAGGCCCACCCGCACCAACAAGCACACTTGGATTCACGCACGACTTAACCCCTTTAATACCTGTGTCACGTTCAGTTCATATACACAAGCAATGCAGGACTGACCTCAAAACCAGAGCAACATTTGAATAGCCATGTGCCCAAGGTTTCCTGGAAACAGGAAGAGATGCGAAGCTGAGGAAAACCTTCTTGTCCCTGCCTGGGAGCTTCAAGAAGAAGATCAGCACCTGGGCCAGCCCGAGGAGCGTCTGAGCTGCCAGACTGTGGGCCTCTAGGCCCTGCCCGCGCAGCTTCCGGACCCCATCCAGTAGTGGGTCCTCCGTCGTCAGATGAGCCCCGCAGGGAAAGTTCGGGACGGCCCCTGGGGAGGCAGCTTTGGTTAAGAGCATGGTCACCCCCGCCTGAGTGTGTCAGTAGCTCAATGCATGGCCCTGGTGTGGACGAGAACGGTGGCTGTGTGGGGCCATGTGCCCACCACCCACTAAACTGCAGGATGACGTCTTCCCACAGCTCCCCTCCATCTCATACAGAGGAGTCCATACGAGGTTCATATATATATATCTCTTTATATATATATATGTAAATGTGTAAGTCCATATGTACACATATACATATATTCACACGCTCTCACACACACATACAAGTATACACACACGTTTCTGCAGAAATCAGTCCTGCCACAATTTGGCCTTTTCGGGACAGTGAAATTGAGAACGTAGTATCTTACTCCACTGAGCCGAGAAAATTAAGAGTGGTGCTTAAAAAAAATGCAATTCCAAAATCCGCTTTCTTCCTTTTTAAAAAAAGGTTAACAAAACTTCTCTTCTTGCAAAGTCGAGAGACTTAATTCCATTTGATTGCACCTCTGCAAACGTGTAAAAAATTGTGACATAGACTAGAAAACGAGGCCATGATGTGGCTTCATGTCACTGTTCCAACGTCACCACCTCCACAGCCTGGCCATCCATGGTGACTGCGCTGTCCGATATTCTGGTGGTCACAGGGGCCATGGCCACCTGAACAGGCCCGTTGCCCTGGGCGAGGCTGGTCACCACGGTCTGGTACATGCTCACGGGGATCTGGACCAGTCCTGGGGAGATAAAAGGAGACGTTGGTGTGGTCCTGCACCAGCCTTCCAGGGGACCACTGTCTGCCTGCCCCAAGCCAGCACACATCCACTGTCCAGGCCCAACTCAGTCTGTTTCCTCTTCACTTTGTCTTAAACAGAATATTAGGGAAGGTTTGGAGAAACTGTGAAATGTCCCTCAGGACAGGGCCTCCCCAACTTGGCAAGAGGCAACCTTGCCAGTCTTGATTTGAGGGGGGAACGGGTCCACTAGCAGTGACTTCCTCTTTCCCTAAGACCACACCCCCTGAACACCTTCATCCTCTCAGACAGACCACCACAAGTCCTGACACTGCCACACTGCCTTCTTCACCCTTCCCTCTCAGTCAGAAAAGACCTGTCTGCCCCTTTCCTCAATCCTGCCCTGCCTGCTGGCCACTCAATGCCCCATCAATGTCCTTCCATTCAGAGGCTAGCTTGTTACAGAAGCACTCACTGGTCACTTGATTTTCAGATTTCACAGTGCAGTCAAATTTTAAAGTATAGTTTTGGAGCAATTGTTAAAAAAAAAAAAAAAAACTAAGATCAACTGCCACTTCCTCTTCCTGTCACTATTACTTGATAGCAGAAAGGATGGTCTACTTCTGATCATGGAAGGAAGGGGCACATAATCTCCGAAAACTACAGCCCCCTTTAGAAAGGAAAGTTGCTAATTTTATATGATATATTAAAAACCCAATCAAACAACCAAGGCAAAATAAGTACACATATCGATTTCTGCTTCTCTGGAAGTGAAAACTGTAATAACTAGGGTGAGAAAAGGCTATAAAGGAGGATGTAAACCGTTTCAGAATATAAAAGCAACGTAACGTGGTTCTGCTCTAGCAGGGAGCAAATCTGTAGTCTTGTGCCCAGAGAAGAGGAGCGAGTTGGCTCAGCCCCGAGTCTCATGGGTTGAGAACCCAGACGATGAGCTCTGGTAGAAAAGAGGAGGTGAAGCTGAAACTGGAATTAGTTGAAAGTTTGTATTCAACCAATCAGGTCAGTTGTTGTTGCTGTTGAATGCCATCGAGTTGATTCTGAGTCACAGCGACCCCGTATAGGGTTTCTGAAGAGTAGCTGGTGTGTTTGAACTGCTGACCTTGTGGTTAGCAGCCAGTATACACCCCCAATCCCAACACCTAGACATGCAGACAGTGCAGTTCAGTTACTGTTGTGAGAAAGTGACCTGGAGGGGCTCTGAGATGGCGACATTTGGTGGATAACCCGCTTCTGGCCCTCACACACTGTCTCCAACCTATGGTTTCGGTGTCTCATTTGAAAGAAACACAGAGGTAGCAAGAACAAAATGGGGAGAAGAAAATAGAAATAAAACTCTAATATCTTTAAAGCTATAAGAGGAGATTTATATTATAACAATGAACTATTAGTAAAAATATGAGAAAAATTCTAAAAGAGCTCCTAAAAATGAAAAATCGAGTACAGCAAACTGAGACACAACGGTTGGTCTCTACTAATTAGGAAGAAAAGAGAGAGATGAATCCAATGACTTCAAGCACAGACCATGGCCCCACCTACCTCAAAGCCAGAAGAACCATGTGGTCTCTGGTCACTACTACTGATGTTCTGATCACAACACATGGACCAGAATAGAATGGGAGAAAAAGCAGGACAGAACCTCAATTCTGGAAGAATAGAAAACAAACAAACAAATAAAACAAAAAACCAATCCAGACTTAGTTAGCCCAGGTCAGAGTGGAGGAAGACTTCCCTGAGACACTCTTTAAAGCCAGAGGTCACCTTTTAGTGAAAGAACAGATCGAGCCACAGAATAAAACTATCACCGGTGTCTACTGCGCTGCGGTCCTTTAAAAAACTCATCTTTATGAGATCAAATGATCAAAAATTACTTTAAAATGAAGATAAGAAAATAAGGGGACAGGGAAACTAGATTAGTGGAAATGAAACCAAGCAGAACAGAAATGAGAATGCTCATGTATTGCGAAGAACGTGATCAGTATCACTAAACAATCTGGTAGATTGTTGAATGGGAAACTTCACCTAAAAACATAGTAAAATATCATTTAAAAAATCTAGTAGATGAAATAAATTCAGAGAAGGATCAGAGATAAATATCAGGAAAATCTTCCAGTGAGTAGAAAAGAAAAGCCCATATCAATCAGGTATAGGGCAGAATAAAGACATTTTCAGACTATTTTGTTGTTGTTGTTAAGTGTTGCGCTGGTTCCAGTAGGGGCTCAAAATATTGGCTACACACATAGTCTTTTTCAGGAGGCTCTAAAGATATGCTCCGCAAAATCCAAAGAAAAAACTAAGATAGAGGCAGGTGTGGTATCTAGGAGTGAGCCCAGGCTGGGGGACAGTGAAGGGGAGGTAAAGGCAGGGACTGGCCCAGGAGGGCAGAATGTTCTCGGGTAAACAGGCACTTAGGATCTAATGGGCCAGATCATGTGGGAAAGAGCACCATGAGGACAGTTTTCCAAACCCTAGGTAGAGTCAGTGATTACTACGTTGCTGTTGTTAAGTACTGTGGAGTCGGTTCTGACTCATAGTGACCCTGCACAGGGTTTCTGAGGCTGCAAATCTTTACGGGAGCAGAAAGTCTCATCTTTCTCCTGCTGAACAGCTGGTAGTTTCAAACTGCTGACCTTGAGATTAGCAGTCCGTTACGTAAAAAGTAGGGGAGGAAAGTACTAACTTGTAAAGAAAGTAAGACTATTGAGAGGAATGAAGATACATACCAGAAAAAAAAGAACATAAAATCTTTTCTCTGGGGTATAGATCTTCTAAGCCTTTTTAATCCTTCTTGACATTTAAAATCATATCTTTCTTAGATGGAAATAAAACTTAATTTTAGAAAGATAAGAATATCTTTTAATGTAAAATTAAATCAAACATAAATTAAAATGCTATTTTACCATATTACATTGAATATACTTGTTTTCCTGGAGTAAATTCTGTTAGTCTTGGTATTTAATGATGCAACCTGCAACAGTGCTTGCTGTTTTGATAAGAGATAGTTTGGAAATCTAGGCTCACTCTTGTGTGTGTGTAAAGAGAAGTGGACTTCACCGTAACAAGAACATAGGGCCGGTCAGAGAGCCGCCAGGGAGGGCCAGGCTTTGAGTTCCTGGGGCTCTGGAGCGCAATTTTTTTTTATCTAGACCTTTGAAATGGCTCTTAAATGCCTCATCCATCTCTCTTCCAGTTCATCCTTCATAACATGTCACTCCCCTCATCTCAAACTCCCCAATTCCCAGATGTTAACAAGTTCCCATTGCCTATAATAAAGTCCAACTACATTCAAGGTCCTTGTGATTGCCCTCTCCTATCCACATCCTGGAGGTCCCTGGCATGTTGGTCATCTATCTTTCTCTGTGCTCAAGTTGTTCAATGGCTGGAATTTCCTTACCCTACTAGTTCCCCTGTCAACTTCTTTGCAGCCTACCACACATGTCCTGGTGGATACACAGAGTGGCTTCCTCTGGGTGCCCCGGGGATGCTCCACAGGCACTGGGACAGGACTGTCATTGCACATACACCAACCTTCCTATTTGCCTGAGGGTTCCTTCAAGGTCAGGTCTATATTCCCCACAGTGTGAAGTATGAGGCCTTCCACAAATTGGCACCAACACCAAAGGCAACAGATCACGACAGCCTATTGCTGGCCTCACTGATGGGCAGCTGGGTTCTGTTTCCAGCCTCCAGGCATGGGCAAGAGTATATCCTACATCACCATTCTCACATGATCTCTCCTGGTCAAAACAGGCCATGTTAACCAAGTAACCCAGGATGACCAGGCCAGGGCATCTGTATAAGCCTCCAAAGACCCCACATGCTAGCAAATGACAACCCAAGTTCAGGCTCGTGTGGATACTCTTTCTTGGGCTTGAGTCAATTCCCAGAGTTCCACACTTAGGTGACCAGACACTCAGTTTACAACCAACCACAGGGACTCTGAGGAGGGAGCATCCATCCTCACTCTGCTTATTATGATGTGCTTGGGTTTCCTTGATGTGGGTCCACGCCCAGCGCTGGTGTTAAAGTCCGATTCTAAGTATCTGGGAAGATGAGCCTCAGAATAAAACAGAAAGAGTCAAGTGCAAAACTACAGGCTGGATGGAGGACACTAGTTATCACCAAAGTGATCTTTTGAACATATGAGGAGGTAGGGGGTGGCTTCAAAAAGTTCACTGGAAAATGGAATTGAAAGATAATGGAATTTTTCCATAGACTTTCTGAAACTCCCTTCTACAAATTGACTTTGCTACTCCCTTTAAATTCTCCAGTGGTTTCTAACAACCCCTAGCAGGTACGCCTTCATGCCAGTCTCTGTCCAGTTAGGCGCCGTGGTCCAAGCCCCATGCACTTTCTCCTCCAGTTAGGTGAACCATCTCCCTGAGGTTCTAAAGCAGAAACATCCAGGTCTTGGCTGAATGACACTGTTCCTTACGTGGGCTCCTGGTCTTCCTCTAGAAGTCGGAGCTCAAGCCTCTCACCTGCCCGCCTACATTGCACAGCAGGCTACCCATGCCTCCTCCATGCACCATGGACATGAGGCATCACTACTGTTCATGTGTCTTGTCACCAAGGAGGCAGAAAACTCCTTAAGGGAGGGACTCTCTACCTTTGAGCTTTTTCGTCCCTGCCGTACCCTCCCCTCACCCCTGTCAGCAGGTGTTCAATAAATGTTCTCTAGAATTTAGGCTGGGGGGGCTGGTTTGGAACAACTCCCAGTCCAACATGGAGCAATAGAAAGTAATACCACATTCAGGACCAGTCCAAGGAAAATCGTGCTTTTGAGGTCCCATCTTCCATATTCTGTCTCAATCCAAAAAAAACGCCCTTCCAGCCTCTACTGCTGGGTGATAAAACATCTCCCCCACAAAACCTCAAATCTTTCTGATGGAAAGTTCTATACACAGGGGCCACCTAAGAAGCCTTGACATCTCAGGATTTTCGCATGCTGTTTTAGTCTATCTACACCTTAAATAAATGCATTA